GTTGAGTTTCAAGCCAACTTTTGCGCTCTCCTCCTTCACCCGCATTATTTCTGCCATGAGATTGGTATCATCTGCATATCTGAGGTTGTTATTTCTCCCAGCAATCTTAATTCCAACTGGTGATTCATCTAGCCCCACCCTTCTCATGATGTGCTCTGCATATAAGTTAAAAAGGCAGGGTGACAGTATACAGCCTTGCCAAACTCCTTTCTCAGTTTTGAACCAATCAGTGGTTCCATGTCCAGTTCTCACTGTTGCTTCTTGACACGCATATAGGTTTCTCAAGAGACAAGTAAGATGGTCTGGTACTCCCATCTCTTTAAGAACTTGCCACAATTTGTTGTGATCCACACAATCAAAGGCTTTAGCATAGTCAATGAAGCAGAAGCAGATGTTTTTCTGGACCTCCCTAGCTTTCTCCATGATCCATCGTATGTTGGCGATTTGATCTCTAGTTCCTCTCCCTCTTCGAAACCCTGCCTGTACTTCTGGTAGTTCTTGGTCCACATACTGCTGGAGCCTAGCTTGTAGGATTTTGAGTATCACTTTGCTAGCAAGTGAAATGAGTGCAAGGGTGCGGTAGTTTGAACATTCTTTGGCATTGCCCTTCTTTGGGATGGGAATGTAAATTGAACTTTTCCAATCCTGTGGCCACTGCTGAGTTTTCCAAATTTGCTGACATATGGAGTGTAGCACTTTTACTGCATCGTCTTTTAGGATTTTGAGTAGCTCAGCTGGAATACTGTCACCCCCACTAGCTTTGTTGTTGCTCAGACTTCCTAAGGCCCATTTGACTTCACATTCCAGGATGACTGGCTCAAGGTCAGTGACCACCCCATCGTGGTTATCAGGGACGTTAAGCTCTTTCTTGTATAGTTACTCTGTGTAACCTTGCCATCTCTTCTTAATCTCTTCTGCCTCTGTTAGGTCCCTGCCATTTTGGTCCTTTATCATACCCATCTTTGCATGAAACGTTCCCTTCATATCTCCAATTTTCTTGAAGAAATCTCTGGTCCTCCCTATTCTATTGTTTTCTTCTATTTTTTGCACTGTTCATTTAAGAAAGTATTCTTTTCTCTTCTAGCTATTCTCTGGAATTCTGCATTCAATTGTTTGCATCTTTCTCCCTTGCCTTTCACATCCCTTCTTTCCTCAGCTATTTGTAAAGCTTCCTCAGACAGCCATTTTGCTTTCTTGCATTTCTTTTTGTTTGGGATGGTTTTATTTGTTTCTTTGTTTAGACAGTTTATATGCCGCCCCCATCGCATAAGCCTCGGGGAGGCTTACAATCATTAAAATCCCTCATATAAATACAAAAAAAAAACATAGAATAAATAAAATACCTAAAATAGTGGAAACAGCCTGGTCAGTTTAAAATCAACAAATAAACCTTAACTTTTAAAATAGCGTTTAAATAAAAAGATCTTGGCCTGGCGCCGAAAAGCAAATAATGACAGCACCAGGCGGACCTCTCTGGGGAGCGCATTCCATAGGTTGGGCGCCACCACAGAGAAAGCCTTCCTCCGAGTACTCACCCTCCTAATATCCTTCACGGAGGGTTCCTGGAGAAGGGCCTCTGCCGCCGATCTCTCGAAATTTTATTAGGATTTTGAACTAATACTACAAACATCAATTGTCACACACATCGGATTTACTGGGTCAGCCCCCTACTACATATCTTTTAACATGCTATGATCATACTAAAATCCATTTATAATAACTTGAAAACATCTTTAGATCGGAACCAAGTCCCGTTTCTCCAGCCAATAAAAAAAAAAAGTAATTCCAAATTTGATAGAAGTCAGTATCTTCCTCTTCTTCATTAGTGAAATCAGTCTCATCATTTCTTGCAAAATCCTGTTTCTCTTGACCAATGTCAAAGGGCAGCATCTCCAAGTTAAATAAGATTGCAATATCTTCTTTCTTCTTCAGTGATAAGTTCGATCTAAACATTTCTGGACAATTCAAGATCTTTTCAATTTTCTAATGATAAATAACTTCCTCACTACCACAATTACAAGTAACATCAAAAATATCCATTTAACATCTCTAAAGGTATCTTAACTACTCTACTTGGTGGTAACTAATGCTTATAATATCTTTTAAACTAATTTTCTTTAAGCTAAATTACTAATGTTTCATCTAACTTAAACACCATTTAATCAAATATGGTTAATTCCATATAAAAATCCAGCTGTTTACAGTCTTCAACATATATCAGCAACAACAATAGCTTAACCTTCCCATATCACATATAGACTTGCCAACCCATTTAAATCATTGCTTTTTAAGATAATAAGTTCTCTTATTTTCTATTACAGATAAAGTCAGAGATGTCCATTTAACAATAATACCTTTTAGACAGGATTTCATTAAGCTAAGTTACTAATGTTTCACCAGTAATAATAGCTTAGCCTTTCTACGTCACGTGTGAGCATACCAACCTATATGAATCACCCCTTTTTGGAATAAAAAGACTCTGCTGCTGATCTCAAGGGGCGGGAGGGCATATATGGACGCAGGCATTCCTTTAGGTAACTAGGACCCAAGCCATTCAGGGCTCTGTAGGTGATAACCAGCACCTTGAATTGGGCCCGGACTTCAATGGGGTTTTAGTCGCTACGTCTTGTACAATGTTGCAAACCTCCGTCCATAGTTCTTCAGGCACTCTGTCTATCAGATCTAATTCCTTAAATCTATTTGTCACCTCTACTGTATATTCAGCAGGGATATGATTTAGATCATACCTGAGTGGTCTAATGCTTTCCCCTACTTTCTTCAATTTAAGCCTAAATTTTGCCACGAGAAGCTCATGATCTGAGCCACAGTCAGCTCCTGGTCTACTTTTTACTGACTGTATAGAGCTTCTCCATCTTTAGCTGCAGAGCGCATAGTCAATCTGATTTCTGTGTTGACCATCTGCTAATGTCCATGTGTAGAGTCGTCTCTTGGGTTGTTGGAAAAGAGTGTTTGCTATGACCATTGTATTCTCTTGACAAAATTCTACCAGCCTCTGCCCTGTTTCATTTTGTACTCCAAAGCCAAACTTGCCTGTTATTCCGGTTATCTTTTGGCTTCCTACTTTAGCATTCCAATCCCCCATGATGATAAGGACATCATTTTTGGGTGTTAATTCTAGAAGGTATTGTAGGCCTTCATAGAATCGGTCAACTTCAGCCTCTTCAGCACCAGTGGTTGGGGCATAGACTTGGACTATTGTGATGTTGAATGGTTTTCCCTGGATTCGAACTGAGATCATTCTGTCATTTTGGAGATTGTATCCCAGTACTGCTTTTCCTACTCTTTTATTGAGTATGAAGGCTACTCCATTTCTTCTGAGGGATTCTTGCCCGCAGTAGTATACCTGATGGTCATCTGAATTAAATTCACCCATTCCTGTCCATTTTAGTTCACTGATTCCTAAGATGACAATGTTCAGTCT